AACATAAATAATATAGTTCATGTTTATTATACTAACCTAATTACTAATTCACCGGAAGTGACGGCGCTAATTCATTGTTTGGGTTAGCCAATAGACAGAGACTATTTACATGTGCTTTAGGGGGAATATATTTTGTTATTGGGATCGGGAAATTTGTAGTTTACTTGTGAGAATATTTGAGAGAGAAATTGTGATTTTAAACTGTGATTTGCTGTGTTTCTTATTATTATTGTCTGGGCGACGGGCAGTAGTTTCCTACACGTGGCACCTCCGACGGGATATTTGTGTAAACGCTCGAACAAGAGCAAGAATTCGCAGTTTTCGATGGCTACAAAACCAACTGAACTCGACGAAGCACAGCAAGCGCTCGAGACAAAATTGAAACATATCGCGATAACTCGAGAGAAAACCGAGAAAATTCTCTCTTCGAACAACGAACAACGCATAGAAAGACATCGTGATGCTTTAAAGGATCTGGTAAATGCTGCAGATAGTTCTAAACGAACAGTAGAGGGATTAAAAATTGCAAATGGCGAAGATATTGAGAGTATTACAGAGTGGGGTGAAAAGATAGAAAATACCATCGGCCAGGCTGACATCGACTTGGATACGTTACAAAAGTGGATCATTAAAACCAAGGAACATACTACAGCTAAAAGTAGAAAAGAGCAACTAGATTTCGAAAAGGAATTATACGAAGCTAAGCTACATTATAAAACCCAGTTAGAGGAAACCAAGCAACAACAAATCGGGGGAGAAACATCGAGTTCCATGTCAAGTTCTGGGCTCGAAGCGAAGCTACCAAAGTTAGTAATAACAAAATTCAATGGAACCTACGAAGATTGGCAACGATTTTGGAACCAATTTCGAGAGACAATCGACAAGTCAAGCGTATCGAGTGTGACAAAGTTTTCGTACTTAAGAGAGTTATTGGATAAAAAAGTCAAACCAACTATCGAAGCCCTGCCCTTCACGAATGAAGGCTATAACCGTGCGAAAAGTATTCTCCAGTCGAAGTATGGGAAAGAGTCTGAAATTGTCAAAGCGTACACTAAGCAAATTTTGGATTTACCTTACATCTCGGATGCAAACGTTGGGAAAGTTCACGAATTTAGTGAGAAACGTTCCTATTGTGTTCAGTCATTAGAAACAATGGGGAAGCTAGAACAAATAAATGGTAACGTTGCAATGACATTGGATAAGTTAGCTGGAATACGAAGCGATTTGGTTCGGACCGACCCAGAATGGGAGGACTGGGACTACAACAAACTGACTGAGGCCCTAAAGTTGTGGACTCGACGAAATCCCATCAATGATTCGATAAAGAAAGACACTCGTCCACGAAACCGTGACAACAAGGTATTCAATACAAAGCTGGGTGCGCGAGGGTGTGTTTATTGTGATGCAAAGGAGCACAAGTCGACTGACTGTCCCAAAGTTGTCGATACCAAGGAAAGAAAGTCAGTACTGGCCAAACGGCGACTTTGTTTCAACTGCACGGGCGAAGGTCATCAAGCGGCGAGTTGTACAAGCAAGATAGCATGTCAGAACTGCGAACGGCGACACCATACATCAGTCTGCAACCAACCGAAGGAAAGGAATAACCTCATGACTGCAAAGAATGGCGAAGGAACATTTCCAATTGTGACGGTGAAGGTGAATGGGGTAACCTGCAGAGCCCTTGTGGATTCGGGAGCTGGCAGCTCATACGTTTCAGCTAAACTGGTTAGTCTCCTGAATAAAAAACCTGTTGATGTGAAAATGAAACAAATTGATATGCTTATGAGTAGTAAGTTGGAACGCCTCGAGACATACGAAACGGAGATACGGTCAGTTGATGGGGACTTCAGCATGCAAGTGGACTTAATCAAGGTAAATAAGAGTGAACTCTTGTCAATTGACAACCCACGCTATAAGGTCCAAGTTGATACCTACCCCCATCTTAAAGGAGTGCATATTCATGATGATGATGCAAAGCCCCAGTTACCAGTGCATGTCGTTCTTGGAGGGGGAGAGTATGCCAGAATAAAAACCGAGAGTTGTCCGAGAGTTGGGAAAGAAGGTGAACCCATCGCTGAACTCACAAAGTTGGGGTGGTTTATTATGTCTCCAGGACAGGAGTTTGACCATAATAACATGATGTTAACACAGACCTGTCAGTCAGATTATGAGGAACTCTGCCGACTAGATGTACTGGGACTGTCTGACACAGCAGAGCACGACCAAAGTGAAGTTTACAGGGAGTTTAAGGAGCAGTTACAGCGATCTCCAGAGGGCTGGTACACAACCAGTCTACCTTGGAAAGGGAATCACCCTCCCCTTCCTACAAATGAGAATGGAAGCCTTCGGCGTCTCACATCCCTGCAGAATCGTCTTCTCAAAAGGGGACTCTTCGAACAGTACGATGCTATAATCGAAGACCAAAAGGTTCAAGGAATTGTTGAGGAAGCACCAGCAAAACCTGAGAACAGGGAGAGTTACATACCCCACAAGGAAGTGGTGAGAGAGACAGCGACATCTACCAAACTGCGTGTAGTATATGACGCATCAGCGAAAGCAACCCCAGACAGTCCTTCACTTAACGATTGTCTTTATCCCGGACCCTCCTTGCAGAATAAACTCTGGGAAGTGCTCGTGCGACAAAGAACCCACCCAGTGGCCTTGGCAGGTGATATTAAACAAGCTTTTCTGCAGATACGCATCAAAGAGACAGAGAGAGATGCTCTTCGATTTCATTGGAGACGAAGAAATGACGAAATCCAGATCCTACGGTTTACTAGGGCGCTGTTTGGACTAGCACCATCACCATTTCTTCTCGGTGGCGTCCTGGAAGCACACCTGGATATGTGGAAAGAGAAACGACCCAACGATGTTGAAGAGATTAGACGCAGTTTGTACGTTGACGACATTCTCAGCGGTGGTGAAACAGTTAAGCAAGCACAAGAGCGAAAGGAAGCTGCCATAACTATACTTGATGATGCCAGATTCTCACTTCATAAGTGGGCATCGAACGAAAGCGACCTTGAAGACGAACCAAAACTGCCAACCAGTGATGAAAACCAGACGGCTGCAAAGATGCAGTTGGGCGTAGCACCGACAGAGTCAAAGATACTTGGAATGCCATGGAACAAAAGGGAAGATACCTTGGGTGTGCAATTGACCCATGAAGAGAACAGCGCGACAACAAAACGGGAAATCCTCAGACATTTGGCTAAAGTTTATGACCCCCTGGGCCTTGCTTCACCCTTGACATTGCTAGGGAAGATCATCTATCGAGACATTTGTGATGCAAAGCTCCCATGGGATGCTGAACTTGACGGCGTGCTGAAGTCACGATGGTTGTCATGGAAACGGATGCTTCCTGATATGATAACAGTCCCTAGACCAATCGCTCGACATCAGGAGCCAATTACAGATATCCAACTTCATGGATTCGGCGACGCTAGCAATCAAGGAGTCAGTGCTGTTGTATACGCGCTCGCCAAACAAGACTCCGGAGACACCCAAACGTTAGTGGCTGCAAAGTCTCGCCTGGCGAAACGTGGACTTACCATACCTCGGCTAGAATTGGTCGCTGGTCATATGACAGCAAACCTGGTTAGCAATGTGGCGAAGGCGATCGGTGAAGAAAGAGTGTCACAACAACATGCATGGCTTGACAGTACAGTCGCTCTGTATTGGATACGAGGCATGGGGGAGTACCGACAGTTTGTGGCTAATCGTGTCATAAAAATTCAAGCTCACTCCAACATCGAATGGCATCACGTTCCTACCTCAGAGAACCCTGCTGACATAGGTAGCAGAGGAGGGCAGCCGACAGAGAAATGGCTAAATGGTCCAACGTGGCTTGGTAATGAAATGAAATGGCCTGAAAGCCCCCATCTCCATGCATCCTCAGAATCACAGTCTGAAGCCAAGGTAACTCGAGAAGTGTTAGCAGCCGCGGTGGCTGAGCCCGAGCGAGATGATCATGTAAACCTACTTGAGAAGAATACCTTGACAAAGACCCTGAGAATCGGTGCGTGGGTCAAGAGATTTATATATAATTGCAAGAATGAGAGAGACAACCGAATTGGAGGTCCTCTTCGTTATGACGAAATCCTGAAGGAAGAGAAGTGGTGGATTGCTAAAGTCCAGAAGTTGATTTCAGAAGAAGAACGAGAAAAGCGTAAAGATCTTAACCTGCAAACAAATCAGGACGGACTGTTAGAATGTCGCGGCAGAATTGAGGGACATTACCCACTGTACCTCCCTGATGCTGCACTGTTTTCAACGAAGCTGGTCGAGCGGGAACACAGAGCAACCTTGCATGGTGGAATTTCGCTTACAATGACTAGGATAAGACAGCGTTTCTGGATTCCTAAATTGCGCAGCCTCGTGAAACGGGTTCGAAGCAATTGTTGGGGATGCAAGCGAAGTCAAGCAAAACCATTGGGAGACCCTTCATCTGGTCCACTTCCAAGCAGCAGGACAACGGGGAACACACCATATTCCGTGATCGGTGTGGACTTTGCGGGTCCTATTCTTTACCGTGCAAGCAAGAAAATTGAAAGGAAAGCTTACTTAGTGGTTTTCGCGTGCAGCCTCACACGAGGAGTACACCTGGAACTGTTAAAGAGCCTTGAAACTGAAGAGTTTCTACAAAGTTTTAAACGCTTTATTGCCCGACGAGGAAGACCTTCAGTCGTGTATTCCGACAACGGAGCCACCTTTAAAGCTGCAGTGACATGGCTAAGGAAAGTTTGGAAAGAAGAGAAATTCCATGAAGCTCTTTGCAATCTTGAGATTGTTTGGCGATTCAACCTCGCGAAAGCACCATGGTGGGGTGGTCAATACACGCGCCTCATTGTTATTTTCAAATCTATGTTTCGTAAGACAGTCGGGGGTGGACTCTTGTCTTTTTCGGAACTAGACGAAATCGTGCTCGACGTAGAAGTGTGCATGAACAACCGTCCCCTAACATACTTGGAGGATGATCCTCAGCTGCCTGTCTTGACACCAAACTCGTTTCTGTTCCAACAACCAACAGCTGTACCAGAGCTACAACCTCATCAATTAAAAGAGCGTGACCTGAAGAAACGTCTTAGGTTCCTTTGTACAACGAAAGATGGACTATGGAACCGCTGGACACGAGAGTATCTCACAGGACTAAGGGAGAGACATAAAATTGTTCGTGGGTCTAAAGCAGAATGCCCAAATGTAGGAGATGTTGTCATTGTTAAGGGAGAAAACAAGAATAGAAATACCTGGAAACTGGGAAAGATCGTCCGACTTATTACCGGCAGAGACGGAGTGGTGCGAGGCGTAGAGTTACAAACGGGGAATGGAAGACTGGAGCGACCGTTGCAACTAATTTACCCTGTGGAACTTCATTGCGACCAAGAGGCTGTCGAACGGGAAGCTCCACCACTTAATGCACAAGCGAAAGAATTCAGACCTAAAAGGAAAGCGGCAGAGAATGCAGCAGCGAAGATCAATAAAGTACTTGCGGAGGAAGACGAGACGGTGATAGATTGAACGAGAGATTGAACGAGAGATTGGGACATTAGTTCCTTTTGTTGCATACATCTCATTAGAAAAGATGTATGGGGGGAGTGTGTCGGAACTAATGTAAACATTAACAGCAAACACTATACTAATCAACTAACATAAATAATATAGTTCATGTTTATTATACTAACCTAATTACCAATTCACCGGAAGTGACGGCGCTAATTCATTGTTTGGGTTAGCCAATAGACAGAGACTATTTACATGTGCTTTATGGGGGAATATATTTGTTATTGGGATCGGGAAATTTGTAGTTTTACTTGTGAGAATATTTGAGAGAGAAATTGTGATTTTAAACTGTGATTTGCTGTGTTTCTTATTATTATTGTCTGGGCGACGGGCAGTAGTTTCCTACACCAGTGCAGATCCTCCCCCCCTGGCGGATTGTTTTCAAACGAGGAGGCCAGGATGCTGTGCCGCTCTCGTGGCAACGATCGTGGGGTTAGCGCCTCTTTCGAAAATGGAATTTTGGAATTTGGACAAACAAAGTTCGTCTTGTGTCACGAGAATTGCTGCAATGGTGAACAAACCAAGTTCTTTCGAAAGAAGAACGCTCGTACTATTAGGCGATGTGAAATTTATTGCTCTGCAACGATTCTGAGGCGAGATATTGGACTCGATGTCGGAGGATATATCTGATAAGTGGCTAGCCTTGTAGTTATTTATGTCCTATGTAGCCAGTGCCAGTACTGACGATCGTTCAAGTACGACGAAAACGTAAAGCAATCGCATCAACTAAACTCAGAAACACAACAAATGCATTCCATTAACAAGTTAGTCCTTTATAGATATATTTTTTACATATACTGCTAATATTTTTTTAATTATTTCGTTATTAAATATTATAACGGTTAAATATTTCGTATAAATATTCAAATATATAGACCATTCGGAGATTGGGCCGCCTGTGATATTGATATGCTATAAATAACAAAATTAGAATAACAACAGTGCAGCATTACCATATTAGGTCATGATAAGCCGTTGCCTATAATATTTAAAATAACACAACAATCCATGATTTACCGTAAGGGGCGGACCATTTGATTTTTGAGGGGGGGGGGTGGAAGATTTCGGAAAAAAAAATCCTGCAACCCAAGGAGAAAGAAAAAAAAATCATGCAGCACACAATCGAGAAAAAAAAATATCATGCAAAAGAGAGCGCTCAAAATAAATGTTCTACATGTAACTCTACTGATGCTCTTCACTTCAGTATTGTGTCCACAGGCTTGCAAGATTTTGCATTTTTGAGCAGGCACATTTGCTTAAAAGAACACAGGGTGAACAGTGGATAACATCACAGGGATTCTACCGCCTTTGGAGCCTCTGACATACGATAGCCAGTGGTGTTCCCTGGCAAAATTGTTGCCCCACCCCCTGAGAAAATCTGGGCTTAAGATAATTATGTACAAGTTTATAAGTTATTTATACATATCTAATATGCATGGTAGAAAAAGTATTTTTGGATGGTTGAGTCTGTGTGCGTTTTTTGATAACATAGCTCCAAACTATTAAAGCTTCAAAGGCCCATCTACAGGATGCAAGTTGAACGTACTGTATATACGATGATTTTAATTCAGAAAATGACCGAGTTTAGAGAGTCTAGATTTTAAAAAAATTCTGAAGAGGATGCAACCCGATCCCCAACAAGCTATCTTTATGAACGATTGAAAAGCTACAGAGCTATATTTGGTGGTTAAAATTGCATTATTTAAATCTTGTTTTAGTACATATTAGTATAATTACATAGGTGATTATTGAAAATTCTCCACGCTGATTGGTTACCGTTGAGGTGATTATTGCGCGATAATCACCTAAGCGATTTTCAAAATGGCGGCCGAAGCCGTTTTGTCAATTAAAAGACGAAGAAATGTGCATTTTTTTATTTTTTCCCAAATAATCACCTATGAAATTATACTAAAACAATTATTCACCTCAGGCTCGGTGATTATCGTGAATAAAAACCTCGACTTCGTCTCGGTTTTTATTCACCGATAATCACCTCGCCTTCGGTGAATAATTGTTAATTAATCAAAGCTCATTTTGTGATTTTCCCTTGTTTAAAATAAGGGACAGTAAGTGTTCCTTAGGCTTAGTACAGCAAAGTTGTTGTGGACGAATCAAGGCTGAAAACGCAGGAAATAGCATTTCCGAGGTTCAAATTTTAATATTTTCTCGGGAGAGCATGCCCCCGAACCCCCCAAGTTTACAGGTCATTCAAATACTGTACCCTCCTCTATCCCTGCATGTTTTAGGTTTTGGTGCAGTTATACATTCTTTGTAAGTAAACTTGCACGCTTTAGTGTGGGGAACATTAACACATAACCATATAAAATAAAGCACAGTGAAAATTCCTTGGCCCCTCTTGGGATTCAGTTCTCAGCCTCCTCTGACTGAGAACCCCTGCTACGTCTCCGATGATAGCTATATGAAAGCCTAAAGTTACTGTAAGCCGTTATTATGAGAGGCAAAAAAAATATCCTGCCGCCAAATATATTGGGAAAAAATATCTTGCGCTGCACTTTTACAGGAAAAAATATCTGTCTTGTTCGCCTGGGCGGAAAAAAAATTCTTGCACAGACTGAATTTCCCCCCCCCCCCTTCAAAAGTCAAATGGTCCGCCCCTAATTAAGCAAGTTAAAATAAATCACTACCGGCCCACAATTCAAAATCATGGCAAGTGTTCTTTGCAGAATTAAAGTCGTGATAAGGCATAATTCATGTTTGACGGCAGTAATGTCTATTTATAAATGTCGAGCGGAGTACTGGATCCAAATGTACTGATTTTCGTGCAAAAGTCGCCGGTGTTTCCCAGGGCATGTACTAAAAGGCGAAACGTCGAAACGAAACGACCGAAACGAAACGGCCGAAACCATCGAGACCACCGAAACGACCGAAACGAAACGACCGAAACGAAACAACCGAAACGAAACGACCGAAACGAAACAACCGAAACGAAACGGCCGAAAATGTAAATTATAGGAAAATTGAAAAATGCGGATACGGACGGACGGACGGGGGGGACAGGCGGATGGACGGGGGGACAGGCGGATGGACGGGGGGGACGGCTTCATTTGACACGGAACTCAATTTTAAAATCAAATCCGCGTTTTGTTGAAAGGGATATATTAGGATATATTATAAAAGACAATAGAATTAATCGTAATAAATTGTCCGCGAAAATTTGATAAAATACATGTGGAAATGCGGGGTTTTTCGAACCTTCGTAACGCTTGATCGCCGGATAAAAGGCGGATATGCTGCAACTTTCATGCTTAATTTTCTCAGTCATCTGGGTATGTAGTAATCTAATTTTATGCAATGTAATGTGTTATATTTTCAAGGGCCTTTCAATGCAGTTATCGGTTTAAATATACCTAAAATTCCTGTTAAGAGATATGACAATTGCCGTACGGCCTACTTTTACGCAAACGAAAATTAGCTACAATTGCCACTTTCATGCTTAATTTTCTCTGTTATCCGGGCATGCAGTAATGTAATTTTATGCCAATGTAATGTGTTGATGAAATTTGCAGTTGTAATTTGCATTTGCGTAAAAGTAGTCCGTACGGCAATTGTCATATCTTAACGGGAATTTGAGTTATATTTATACCGATAACTGCATGGAAAAGCCCTTGAAAAATAGCACCTTACATTGGCATAAAATTACATTACTACATGCCCAGCTAATATAACAGAGAAAATTAAGCATGAAATTTGCAGTTGTAATTTGCGTTTGCGTAAAAGTAGTCCGTACGGCAATTGTCATATTTTAACGGGAATTTGAGTTATATTTAAACCGATAACTGCATGGAAAAGCCCTTCAAAAATAGCACCTTACATTGGCATAAAATTACATTACTACATGCCCAGATAATATAACAGAGAAAATTAAGCATGAAATTTGCAGTTGTAATTTGCGTTTGCGTAAAAGTAGGCCGTACGGCAATTGTCATATCTTAGCGGGAATTTGAGTTATATTTAAACCGATAACTGCATTGAAAAGTCCTTGAAAAAACAGCACATTACATTGCATAAAATTAGGTTTACATACCCAGATAACAGAGAAAATTAAGCATGAAATTTTTGCAATTGTAGCTAAATTAAATTTTCGTTTGCGTAAAAGTAGGCCGTACGGCAATTGTCATATCTCTTAACGGGAATTTTAGGTATATTTAAATCGATAACTGCATTGAAAAGCCCTTGAAAATATAACACATTACATTGCATAAAATTACTAGATTACTACATACCCAGATGACTGAGAAAATTAAACATGAAAGCGCTACAAATCTGTTGCGAGCACATCTTGTTGACAAGTTGTAATATTTTAGCATTGCTGTTGAGTAACCAGATGCACCTGCAAATCACGCTGCAGATGTAATATGACCTTTAGAATCGATTTCCGACGTTTACCGAGCGCTAGGATGTATAAAACCACCCGTTTGGCCGTACAATCTAGCTAGTATAATAACTATGAGATTGGTCGGGAGGCGCAGTATTTATACTTGCCAGATTACCAATCTCGCCAATCTGAGTAGCAAAAAAAATTATACTAGTGCCAGACTACCGTTTATCAATATAGCGCATTCAATATGGCGACGAGCAAGCAGTGTTATAAATATTACTGACTTCGAGTAAATAAATCGGTAATACACAAGAATTTGCATCTTCTTTTATGTATCCTGCTTGCTGGTGATGTAGCAACCAACCCAGGCCCAACATCTGACTCACAATCAAGGGACGGTTTCAAGATACTGTATTTAAATGCAAGAAGCCTGAAAGCATTTGTTCATCCACCGGGGAATACCTCCCCAAAAGTTTGCAAAATTTCGTTATTTCAAGATTTAGTATACAGTGGAAATTATGACGTCGTATGTGTTTGCGAGACGTGGTTAAACAACTCAGTTTTAAGCAGCGAAATTATACCTAATTATGGAACTGTCTTCCGGCGTGATATAACTGGCAGAATTGGTGGTGGTGTTCTCGTTGCTATTAAGTCAGGAATACAAGTCACACGTCGACACGATCTGGAAACTGACAACACGGAACTTATTGTTACTGAACTTTTTAAATCGAACAGTAAACCTGTCATCCTTTACACTTTCTATCGCCCTCCTGACTCTACGCCTGATGTCCTTCAGTCACTGAACAACTCACTCCAAAGAAACCAAGAATCGAGTCGTATTGTGATGATCGGAGACTTTAACCTACCATCTGTTAAATGGTCGAGTTATGAAAATGTTCCTGTGAATACCGGAGGGTCCAATGAGAATGAAGCATTTTGCGAAATGGTGGACGACAACTTCCTTCAACAGTTCATATCTGGTCCCACCCACATCGCTGGTAATAAACTCGACCTTTTGCTATGTAATTCTCCAGAAATCATCGGTGACGTTTCTGCATTCCTTCTTGAATGTTTCCCAACAGATCATTACGTCGTGGAAATTGATGTTCAACTGAAGTTTAAAAGAGCCAAGCCAGTTAAACGCCGAGTTTTTGACTACAGGAACGGTAAATTTGATGAGTTGCGCAATTTCCTCACGAGAAATCCCATTAATATTACTCCCACCGATGATATTGATAACTACTGGGAACAATGGAAGGAAACGTTCTCAACTGCCGTGAAAAAGTATATTTCAGTAAGAACTGTTAAGGACACCAACTCCCCCCCTTGGATTGATAAAGAAGTCCGGATTCTTATCCGCAAGAAATACCGTGCATTAAAAAACTACCGAATGAATAGATCTGCAACTCGGAAGCGAAAGCTGCGATCCCTTACTCAACAAACTAAGCGTCTCATTAGACGGAAACACCAAGAATATCTGGCTAAAATTGAAAGTTCCTTCTCTGTCAATCCAAAGCTGTTCTGGAGCTACCATAAAGCTATCCTACGCCACCGAGCAAATCTGCATCACGAAATAACGTTCGACGGAGTTACTGCTAAATCTGCAAAAGATAAAGCTACACTTTTCAACGCGTACTTCTCTTCCGTATTTCGTTCACCTTCCACAGGTTCAAAATCAGGTATCTGTGATCTGCTTCAACCATTAGAAATTGAGGAGCTTTCCAATATAACACTCAATGCGGAAGAAGTTGCGCGAAGTTTGTACAATCTTGACACATTCAAAGCATGTGGCCCCGACGGCATTCCAACTCGTCTTCTGCAAGAATGCAGCATCCAAATTGCACCCAGCATTTGTGAACTATTCAATCATTCGCTGCACACCGGTCAGATCCCTTCTGAATGGAAATCTGCCAATGTTACGCCTATCCACAAGAAAGATTGTAAAGAACCAGCCGAAAATTATATTATTAGACCTATTTCTTTGCTCCCCATCCTTGGAAAAGTTCTAGAACGTGGCGTGTGTTTCAGACTTTATGATCATGTCAAACATCTCATCACCAAATTTCAACATGGTTTCCTCAGACAACGTTCATGTGTCACTCAGCTCCTATCTGTTCTTCATACTATCGGACAATCTCTCGACAAGAACACCCAAACAGACATCGTTTACCTAGATTTTGCAAAGGTATTTGACACTGTTGACCACAATATTCTTCTCCACAAACTTAAACAGTATGGCGTATCAGGACAGTTGTATGCATGGTTCGAAGACTATCTGAGCGGTCGTTGTCAACGAGTTGTGGTAGATGGAGTTGCATCTTCCTGGGCACCTGTAACATCTGGTGTGCCACAAGGAAGTATCCTAGGACCTGTTCTGTTTGCGATCTTTATAAAAGATCTTCCGAATGTACTACCAGACGAGACCTCGGCAGCATTGTATGCAGATGACACCAAAGTGTACAAATTAATTAAATCGGAAGATGACTGTCAAATTCTGCAACACGCCTTGACCAGCCTTGAATGTTGGAGTCATGATAACAACCTAGATTTCAACCAGTCGAAATGTAAGGTGCTGACCATCACACGAAAAAAGACTCCCCTCGTGCATGTCTACCACATGAATTCAAAGGAACTCTTGCGTGTGGATAAAGAGAAAGACCTTGGTGTTTGCGTCAGTGCCAACTTCAATTGGGATGTTCACATCCACACAATCACGGGTAAGGCTAACAAGATGCTCGGGCTGCTTAAACGAACTTGCCCTCTTTTGAGAGACAAAACAGTACGACGAACGCTGTATCTCGCGCTTGTTAGATCTCAGCTATGTTACGCTAGTGAAGTCTGGTCTCCACACACTGTCAAACTCAAGTCTAGAGTCGAAAGCGTCCAAAGAAGAGCCACCGCGTGGATACTACAATCCAAGCATGGCGAAATGACATTATATCAACAACGGCTAATGAATCTCAACCTGCTCCCCCTCTGCTATGAAAGAGAGATTTCTGATCTGGTATTCTTCTTCAAGGCTCTCTTTGGCAACACAGATTTGGACGTTAACACCTTTGTCTCCTTTTCCAACAACAATCGGACCAGACTCTGTCAAAATCCCTCCCTCACCCTTAAAGTCCCCCTCTGTAAATCCAACACATTCAAAGCATCCTATTTCAACCGACTAGTTAAAATATGGAACTATACCTGTAAAATTCTACCTCCTACCACCTTCGCCACCCTCTCCTCGTTTAAAAGAAACATTAGAAGCACATATGAACACTTGCCCGGAACAATGTTCGACATAGAAATGCCATGTACATGGTCATTAGTGCGTGACTGTCCATGTCATAGAACTTAGTAAATAACTGTGTTTCATATTTGTGCTGTTTTGTATTGTATTTTGTTCTATTTTATTGTTTTGTACAGTTTTAGAATGGTAAGCACCTTGCATGGGACTTTATGTCTCGTTCGTGCTTGATATTGCCCATTTGGGTATTCTACTTATTTCTACATAGAACTGTTGTGTTTAAAACGTTTTAGAATTCCCAATAAAATTGTTAAACTAAGTGTAAATGAAGAATCTAATGCATGCCAGTCCCAAACTGTCTAAAAGACAATTATATCCCAACCTAGCCAAAGCCTAAAGTGTATTTGTGAAATGAGGTCAAGTATACACGTACATTACGGTAAATATTAACGAATCCCCTGCTTGTGGTTTACTATTTCTTCAGGTCTGCATGGTAGTTGAAAGATTTAAGTGGCATTTTTTTCAATATCGCGTATTCGCGATGAAAGGTGTTCAAAACCTAAAATCGTTTTGGAGTTCCTCTCAAAATTACTTTGTTTTAGCTTTATTTTGTTGTTTACACAGTTGGTAATCTTTCCAAATGTGTCTGGCGGTTGAGAACCATTACAGTTAAATATTGTCAACTTAAATACAATTATCATTGATGCTGTAAAATTGACACGCCAGACGTTTAGACAGCGTGTCAAAACTGGCCGTCCAAAAAATATTGTGGGTGTGGCAACCCATTTTTGTCATAATATACAGTACTAATCATTCAAGGTATTCAAGAAATATTACAAAGCTTTAGGGGTGCACCGGATTTGGAATTTTCAAATCCGCCCGGAACCGGATTTACCGGATTTGGACAAAACGTCCGGCCGGAATTATTTGCCGGATTTGAGATAAACCGGTAATGGGGACAATTGGGGATAAATCAGTACTCAAAATGGCGGTTTATGTTTTTTACTATTTTTAGTTAGTGTCAGTTTAGATTTTTGATTGTGTTTAAACCTTTTTAAAATATTTTTTGTTCATAACTTAAAATTTTATAATAATATAAGTGTTTTTTAAACTTTAAAGCTGCCAAATTGATGGTTTATCCCATTCTTGGGGAATTTTTAAGGCGAAAACAGAAATTTAAATCTGGCCGGATTTTCTCCAAATCCGGCCGAATGCCGGAAAATTCGTTTAATCCGGCCGGATTTGGAATCCGGTGCACCCTTACAAAGCTTGCGAGTTGCTGTTTAAAAAACATCTTCTTGGACCGGCCATGGTCGTCTATTCAGAATTGGCCGTCTAAATTCAAAATAGCCTGCCCATAGGAGCAGTTGGATGGCCGCCTGGCTAAATTCATTTTTTCTTTGCCGTACCATCTAAAATCTCATTTAATTAAATTTTAGGATAATTTTACAGATAACGCACTAATTTAAAACATATATTTTTTAAGTTTGTTCGTCACTTGATGTAGTCATAACCGAGTGAAGAAGTATTATAATTCATTAGTTTTGAGCAAGTGTTACACGATTCTCCTATTAATAAGAATACATTCTCAAGATATCTAACCTTGGATGCCAAATATTGAACCAGCTAAAGCTCCACCAAAAGCCCAATTTTTGTAATCATCTTTATCTCGTATTGAAGCCAGAGCACAGGTTGAACCCGCAAACAATGCACCTGCGCTACCTGCAAGTGAAATAGCAAAGGGATATTACTGTATTTGAGGTATTTGAGGATATTGAAATGATCATTGATTACCAGTATACAGTAGATTTGTGCAAACGTTTGGAAGAATTGCGCGTTTTAAGCTAATTTAGGCATGAAATTTGGCACATACAGTATGTAGATAACTACAGTATAAATTATAAACAATATCGGGTATGGACCCCATCGAAATCTTTCCAATAAACCTTGTAAAAACTGATTAATTGTATATTTCTGCTACAGTATTACAGTACAGTACAGTAAGTTCACTTTTCCAAAAATTCATCTTCCCATTAGAAAGATAAAAACTTTTGAGTTGTGGAAAGGAAGAACGTCCTAAATAGCGTTACCTTATCATAATTTATGCAAAGATTTTCCATTTTTCATTGTTGAATTTGTAACTCGAAGTAGAGTCAGAAAAATCGTACTATACTCCTTTAAATGTCTTATATTTACTTTTGCGACCTTTCTATAATGGTATGGATCATTGTATAAAAGTGAACTGAAATTTCAGGTTTAAAAAAATTAATACTTTTATACGAAAATAACACTAATTAACTTTATCAATTTTTTTTTTTTTTTTTTAATTGGATCAATGGGGTCCATGGTACATGAAGTGTTTATCTCAGTCTATATCTGTATCGAATTTCGTGCTTTTATCATAAAACCCACAATTGTTCCATGAATCTATTGAAATAATTTTCAAATTTGATAACCAGGAAAGGATCTGGTTTCCAGCCACAGCAGCTATTGTTACGAGTTCCAGTCTGAACTAAAGCCAGGCACTGGTACCATATAGAAACTAGAGAATAGAAAGGACTCTAAACTATTACTTACTAAACATAAACATAAAGAAGACAACATACTGGACAGATAATTCAGACTACATTTAGACTACCGCTGCAGTAGAACACAAATAACTATATATATTAGTCATTACAATTTTTTAGACGTTACATCATCACACTGGAGTGCTGGATTGCATACTACACCGGACTTACCTATTAGTAAGGTATATCTGCCGACAAGCCCCAAAGCTTGTATTATATTTGGTTTAGGATGTGGAGCAGGAGTCATAAAAGCAGCTGCTATGCTCCCATATAAAGCTCCTATACAGTAGATAAAAAAAAATTGAATATCATAAGACCATGGGATACATCAGCTCTCAAACGCCAAGTACAGTCTTATTTTGTAATATTGTTACAGCACCTTCCAATCTGCCATAGCAGGGCTTTCAGAGTTGTTCTGAGTAGGTAGAGGTCTAGAGAGGCTTAATTAAAGTTATCTAAATTAACTAGACATACGGTACGTGTGAATATCGACTAGATAGAACACAATTGAGCTCAATAACCATTACATCACTACTGTACGAAAATTTCATTCATCAACAAGAGAACTTCAAGATTTAAGATGGCAAATAACTAATAAAATCAGTTTATGTTTTACGAAATAGTACGTCGTTTTCGAAAAATAACCAGGTTAAAAACTAGACCAGGTAGAGGAAAAATAACTTTGTTTGAAAGATTTGAGTGGAAGAAGGAGAGCAGATCGATCTTTCGACTATACTAAACAAAATACAGTAACTGGCAGTGAACCTTGTGGCACCTGCCGGAGCTCGGTGGCCACCGATTTATTTTGAAAGCCCTGTCATAGGCCAGATTAGAACAACATACAGTATAGGTGAATAAAGTTCAATGGTTAACAAGAAATACATTATACGTAAGATGTTACAGTACACCCTGTATATCAATATATTTAACTATTATTGGAGATATCCAAAATTATTCAGACTATAAGGTCAATGTTATCTACCAAAGCCTGAGGCATGGCCGGATTTTTAGGTGCACACCTCCCCTGAGATCGTTTTGCACCCCCCCTTGAGAATTGTTGCACCTGCCCTGAAAAGTCATGCACCTCCCCTTGGGAAAATTTCAATGATAGATAAAAGTTAAAATTTGATATTTTTTTGGTTCCTTAGGGTCTACAGTACACTTGGTAAGAATGTTTGTCTGTAAAATTGAAACAGTAATAGTCATTCATTTCTGTGTCAAGTACCTTTTAATGCAATGTTTCGAAAGACACTTTGTAAGAATTGTAATGAAGGGTAAAATTGTATCAGTTGTTCAGTCATAATTCATTAGTTAATTGATACATATGCACACTACAGTATATGCATATATACGTCAAGTTGTTCACTTTAGCCCGTTCTAAGCCCTAACTTTCCATGGGAGTCGTGAGCTAAACCGCTGCACCTCCCCTAAATTTTTTTCACCTCCCCCACTATTTCCACCAAATCCGGTCTTGGTCTGAGGTGGATAATATTGACTGAAGTATATGGATATCCTATGAAAACTGAATATCCAATTTTAATTACCATTCATAGCGATATTTCACTAATAATGGGGCTCATTCTGAGGCTCTTTCTCGTTCCAAAATGGTTGTTTTGTAAGGGAAGCCTCACAAATCGATTTTTTCCACGAGAAACGTCATATGTTCGTTTGAGGGTGGGGGGGGGGGGGGGGCTTTGCAGC